TGCATGGAGTGTGGAAAGACCTTTGCTCAAAGAGGTAATCTTATTTCCCATAAGACGATCCACACAAGCGAGAAGCCGTATAAATGCATGGAGTGTGGAAAGACCGTTGCTCGAAGAGGTGAACTTATTTCCCATAAGATGATCCACACAGGGGAGAAACCGTATAAATGCATGGAGTGTGGAAAGGCCTTTGCTCAAAGAGGTAATCTTATTTCCCATAAGATGATCCACACCGGGGAGAAGCCATATAAATGCATGGAGTGTGGAAAAACCTTTGCTCAAAAAGGTCATCTTATTTCCCATAAGATGATCCACATAGTGGAGGAGCCGTATAAATGCATGGAGTGTGGAAAGACCTTTGCTCAAAGAGGTCATCTTATTTCCCATAAGTTGATCCACACAGGGGAGAAGCCGTATAAATGCATGGAATGTGGAAAGACCTTTGCTCAAAGAGGTCATCTTATTTCCCATAAGAGGATCCACACAGGGGAGAAGCCGTATAAATGTATGGAATGTGGAAAGACCTTTGCTCAAAGAGGTCATTTTATTTGCCATAAGAGGATCCACACAGGGGAGAAACCATATAAATGCATGGAGTGTGGAAAAACCTTTGCTCAAAGAGGCAGTCTTATTTCTCATAAGACGATCCACACAGGAGAGAAGCCATTTAAATGCATGGAATGTGGAAAGACATTTGCTCAAAGAAGTAATTTTATTTCACATAAGAGGCTCCACAGAGGGGAGAAGGTGTATAAATGCATGGAGTGTGGAAAGACCTTTGCTCAAAGAGGTCATCTTCTTTGCCATAAGAGGATCCACACAGGGGAGAAACCGTATAAATGTATGGAGTGTGGAAAGACCTTTGGTCAAATAAATAATTTTATTTCCCATAAGAGGATCCACACAGGGGAAAAGCCATTTAAATGCATAGAGTGTGGAAAGAACTTTGCACGAAGAGGTAATCTTATTCGCCACAAGACAATCCACACAGGGGAGAAGCCATATAAATGTATGGAATGTGGAAAGACCTTTGCTCAAAGAAGTCATCTTATTCGCCATAAGACGATACACACAGGGGAGAAGCCGTATAAATGCATCGAGTGTGGAAAGACCTTTGCTCAAAGAGTTAATCTTATTTCCCATAATATGATCCATACAGGGGAGAAACCGTATAAATGCATGGAATGTGGAAAGTCCTTTGCTCAAAGAGGTAGTCTTATTTCACATATGAGAAGCCACACAGGGGAGAAGCCATATAAATGCATGGAGTGTGGAAAGAACTTTGCTCAACAACGTAGTCTTATTTCCCATAAGAGGATCCACACAAGGGAGAAGCTGTGACTTCAATCCTAGTTAGAGACAGACCTAGGGTCTCCTGCTTGGGCAGGGGATTGGACTAGATGACATGGAAGCTTTGTAACTTTTTATGCATACGAGGTGGTTCCCAATCAAGTACCGCCTGCACTTTTAATGGGTCCATTTCTACGCCCTGGTGTAAAATGCGGTACCGTAAATAATCATTTTTTTTCTTGGTGGAATTCACATTTGGAGAGTTTAGCAAGTTTGGTGAAGTGGGGTTTTACATGTTCTGCTTTGGTCTCAGTATATACCAAAATTACCTCCACTAGACCGATACGATCGCATCGATTAGGCCTCCTCCGAATTCCATCTACTAGCCAGTGCAGACTGGCAACTACCCGGAGGAGAGCCTTCTCGGTGGCTGCTCTGACCCTCTGGAACAGACTCCCCGTGGAGATTCGGACC